GTGATTTGTGATGTAGCATCAGGCTACAATATGACAGGTCTGTTGCAGCAGTGTTATTCGCATTCTGGAAACTTCAGTTGCTCCAACTGAAGTTTGTGATCATGTTCAGTCGTTCTTGTTTTGTATGTGTATGGCCTCTCTCCTTTTCTCCTACTTTGGGTTTAGTGTTTGGTAATGGGTGAGCTTGTAATATTGAAGTATAAATTTTTTTTTTTTTACAAAAAGCTTTTAAACCAGAAATTCGGAAGGAACCTGAGATATTGAAGTTTCCTTGTTCTTTCTCTTGCGGTTTTTGTCATGCTCTCGGATTCCACCAATTCAAGTCGTCGGGGTTTAATTCGATTCAAGTTGAAGTTGTATTGATAAAAAGTGATTTTATGAATTTTTGTGTTTTTGGTTTATGAGTTTAGATTCATTTATCAATTTCATTAAAATGATTTGATTTTGCTCACGAATCACTTTGTTCTTAAAAGGAAATGGTCAAAATTTTCTTTAATATGATTACAAATCTTCATGAGTTAACTCAACTTTTATCGAACTCTTTAAGTTTAGATTTTGGATACTTAATAATTTAGTGAACTAAAGTGATGGCTCTTGAATCATTGATTTACATTTTTGCTTGATAAGTTGAATTGTTTAACTATATTTAACTACATGCTTGGTTTAAATGGCATTTAATTTGTATAGTTTAGGAACCTTGAGTTGATTTCAAATAATTTGTTTCGTGTTTATCAATTAAATTGGTGCCTTGACCATTTGTTGTTTTTGGAGGGTAAATAAGAGAAATTTCATTTCATTAAGTCATTAATTCAAGGAAGGTATACTCTACCCCTTATTTTGATTTTTACTTGATACTACGTGTTTATTGCATGTAATTGCATGTTTTAATTTCTTGTTTTATTTACTTTTAGTATTATTCATTTACTTGATTTTGGTAAATTATTTGAGAGGCATTTAAATGCTAAATTGTAATAGTTAGATGCTCAAGACATGCATTTAGTTAGAATATGTAATAGATAGGTTTTAATTTTGCCAAAAAATGTATTTAGTTAGATAAATGTAATAGTTAGGTTATTATTTTATTCTTTCCCCCCCCTTAGATTGTAGTTAGGACCCCGAATGTAATAGTTAGGTCTCTATTTGCTTTTATTTGTTTGTTTGTTTGTATGCTTGTGTGTTTATGTGTTTACTCGCTTTCTTAGGGTCTTTGCATCTATATATCATGCTTATGCGCTATGTGCTCTATGTGATTTATGTGCTTACTTGGTTTTATTATGTTTTATATGATTTATTTAGTTATAATAAATGCATGATGTCACCACACTAGTCCAACACTAGTTATGGTCTATTTTCTCGATTTCTGGCTAGTCCAATGCTAGTGAAGAAATTATAGACATGGGTTAGTCCAATGCTAGGCCCTTAGGGATCATCCACGCGCTAGATCATATTTGCATGACAAACACTACATGTCATGCATATTTTCTACTTTTTTAGGATATTTACCATTTTTGCATGATATTTCCTCTATATGTATATCCCTTATCCCTATGTGTGAAACATGACATGTAGACTTGCATTCCATTTAAGAAAAATTAGAACTAGATTAGATCATTTGCTTGATTAGATAGGAGAGTCACCCTTTAAATATGGGATATGGACAAGTATGACTTCTTAGCCTTAGCACGCTCATATCTCCTCTATAAAAAAGGAAAATCTAGTCATGAATCTTAGTTCCCCGCACCCGTTATGTTACATTCCTCTTTTTTAGGTCACGTATACTTATATATTATAAATTTTCTTTTCCTCGAGTCTCATCTTTTGTAATTTCGTGACCTCTTCAAAAAGTCACTTTTTGAGTATCACAATTAATGTGATTTGCACCAATCAAAATTTGAAAAGATATTTCAACTCCTCGATATCCATTAGGTCTAGGTTCGCATCCATATAATAACATCCAAAATGTGACAAGTTTGATAGGTTAAATTAAGAAAATTTTCGACTAAATCACGCAACTAGCCTTGACTAGGTTGAAAGGGTGCCTTGGATTTCATCCTTGCCTTCCCTTTCTTCAACCATGACTCCCGAACTCCTTTCTCTTGTTTTTCGAAGACTTAGAAGTCGTTTAAAAGGATTTTACCTATTTTTTATTAAAAATACATTTTTAGGTGACTTGGTATACCTTAATTCAATACCAAGTGGTGACTCATGTTTTCTTCTAAAAACCCTTTTTAAACTATTATTTTGGGCCAAAACCATCGCATTTTTTAAGTCTCATTTTAGGCCATTTTTCTTTATTTATTCTCTAAAAATAAAAAACTCATTTTCACTCAAAATTAATCAAAAATTCATTTTTATAACTCATAATTTTGTTTTTTTTTTCAAAAATATGGGGTGCAACAGCTATAACAATTAAATGAAAGAATTACATATTATCGAGGAATGCGGCTTCATGTTATTTTAAATAATTGCCATCCCGTTACCTGCCATGATAGATTCAGGCGTTAAGAGAAGCAGAACATGAAAAATATTTAATAACTAATAGATATGCACAAATAAACAAAGAACTTAGAGCCCATTATAGAAATGAACACTTAGATAAATAATGAATAGCCCAGAAAGAATAATATACTGCCAAGAATGTAAAAAATGCATTAGTAGAGACTTACCAATAAAAGCTAAAATAAATAGAGTAAGAAATCTTATAAATAAAAATCATTTTGAAGAAATTATAATAGAAGCATTAAATATATTCTTAGAAATAGAAAAGCAAAATCTGAAAAAAGCTGTATGAGAAAGAAATCTATATTTACTAAAAATGCATACTTGAATTCAGAGAACTATAAAATAATAGAATCAGAAAATTTAAAAAATAGAACGAAACCTATTTGAAATACAAAAAAACAATGTTATACATATATAAAGATCTAAAGAAAGAAATCAAATGATTAAAGAAAAATTAGAAAAAAGAAGTTTAGAAGAGAAAAATTACTGAAAAAAGAAATAAAACAACTATGAAATATCTAACAAAACATATTTCTAAAATAAAATGAGTGAGTTTGAAGATAACTTTACCTGTCTCTCAGATTATGAAATAGAAAAATAAGTAATAAATTTAATAATCTGATGATAAATATAAAGCTTGATATAAAACCAAAGATGTCTGAAAATCCAAATATTAATGATATATCGTTATCTAGCAGACTGTCTCCGCATATGCCAGGCATAGATCTGGTTCAGGAAGTTCTTTTATTTCGCCAATAATGAACATGATAAGGCAAAAAGGACACTTAGATAATGAAGGTTATACACTTTTAGATAGGACCACACCTAAAAGTATATTTTTGTTTGGAACATTTTTAGATTTAAACTATGTAAAAAATATAGAAGAAGCAATAGATAGATGAAAAATTGGATTAAGATCAGCTGTAAATTAGAAAGATTCAAAAGAATTTTTAGAAAGATCCCTAGTAAATAGCGTTTCTCGATATTGGCAGACATTACCCAAAAAAATTAAATCAATAATATATGGAGAAAACCAAAATACAAATGATATGATGACTAGATCACCTGAATTAATTCGTCTTGAATTTGTTGGTGGAGAAAGTTATTTTAAAGATGCTAATTCGGTCCAAAAATATACCAATGCATCGTTTAAATTAACGTTTTATGATATGTGTAAAATAGATAAGTATATTTGTGTTTTTAAGATTATTATTATAGAACAAACTAGGGATGGCACCCACGCTCAGCGTGGGAGTTATAACCTGTGTGAGGGATGTAGTTTGTAAGCGGAAAATGCAATTAATAGTAATGTAGTTGTAAGAATTGCTATGGTATAGTTCGTTGTTTTTGATAAACTGATTAGGGTCACAAAATTATTGCATTTTTAATAAAAGTTCCAAAGTTATTTGTTTTTATTTTACCGTCGCATAGGATTTTTTTAAGGGCATTAGAAATGAGTGAAGATGAGGATATTAAGCACAGGGATTGTGTTATTAAAAAATAATAGAAATTCTAGTACATCAACATATGCACACCAATATACATTCATTAATTGGAATAATTGGTTTGGAAAGTACCTTGATCAGAAAGCGGGAGCTGGACAAATCCTTTGCCTCACAATTGTTCCTCAGTTGCTGCCAAACATGGAACTGCAAGAATACAGTTACAAATATAATTAGAGCTTGTAAACTGTAAAAGATTGTGATTGTTTCATTCAGAAATCCGATATACACACAGATAGGATTTACCTGAAAAACACAGTGGAAGGGACCTTACCTCTTTGGGGACCACCTTGGTAATATAGAGTTTAAGCAAGTCATGCAACCGTTATGTGTGTGAACAGCTTGTATTATTGCAGGTTAGGAAAAAAACTGATCAGCAAATGCTCTAGAAGAGCAAAAGGCTTTCAGTTTTTGTTCAGGCATGCCTTCCAACAAGTCCCGCATCTTCCAACCATTAGTATTGTAGTAAAGAAGCAATGATTGCTCACTGTAATGTCCTAATTCATTACTTCAGGTGAACTCATTTGGTGGAAAATTCAGAAGCCAAAAAGCTAGTAGTTACACTTGCACAATAAAGGTTTGAGTTAATGTTCTTCTCAATGATGGTTTGCAGCAATGACACATCAATGGCAAGGGCTGCTTAGAAGAATAAAACTGAAACAACAGCTAGTAAGCTACACATCGGCAGTGTAAGCATCACCCTTTGCCTTCCTTCTGGTGAGCCATTAATGACTCAGAAAAAGGAACGTTTGGACTATGAAATGGTCTGGCTCTAACACGTGGGTTTTTTCTTTTTTCAAATTTTTCATGACATGAACCTTTAAGTTATTTCAGTTTCCAATCATTATTCTCAGAAATTCCAATGGGGTCAATGTTTTCAAGAACATAATAGAACACTCTTATTGCAGCACTGAATTGGCCTTTCTTCATCTTGAGGATAACTAATTACATAATAGAACAACCATGAATAGTACCCCTCAAAACCATGCTAAATACCTAGCCAGCCCGGCTGCCAGAAGTGGGCGAATGCCCAAATTGAACAGTACTGTAATTAATAAAATGAGCATAATCTTGGCTGCTACGCTCATAACCATGCTTGTAATAGTTGTAGAAGGCAGGTTCAGACAGCTGAGAGGTAGTGTAATAGGTGTTTGGACCAGCATAATCGCCATAGCTGTAGGAAGAGTAAAGCTAAAAGAACAGAGCATCCGTTGAGATAACGGCTTGTTTCAGCTCTGCTGTCATTTTTCCCTCACTGTCTTGAGCGTGTCGTGTCATCCATGGACATTCAAATGTCAACTATAGCAGGCTGTTGAGATAATTTTGTTTAGCACAGTCAAGGTGAAACAACTAAGCATCGGTAGTGGAAGCATCAAGCCACTAAGGGTAGGCTGGGTAATGTACATACCAATACACCTAGACTGCTAGTACCCTAACATTAATGACTTGTACACTGGTACTAAAATGCCTAATGTACCCCTCAAAATGGTTAGATGAAAATTATCCAACAGCCACACAACAACTCCTTTTTATATATATATAGGATTCAAAGAAAAGAGAAACATATTTAGAAATGTTTTTTTTCAAAGATTTTTGACCCATGGGGTAAGAAATTAAGAGAAGAATATGATAGGGGAGAAACATCTCGAGAGAATCCAATATACAAGTCAAGAATCCAACTCTGATCCAAAAGCAAGCTATTAGGTTTCGGGTCCTTATTTACATATTAACCGCTCTTTCTCTATCTCTCGGACCAACGTGGAACATAACCCTTTACTCATGAACATAACAAATCTCACCCATTATGACTAATCCTCACATTGAACCCAAATTTACACTCTTTTCAACATCCAAACTGCATTCTAGAACTCTGCCAGTCCTTGGTTCCTTGATCTAACACCAACTAGACCTCCTGCCAAACCCATGGCGCACCTAGTCCAACACTACCAAATTTCTTAGCACTTTGGCACTTCGATCCACCATCAAGAAGAGAATTTTTACCGGTCCAACTCTTGAAAGAATCCGCTTGCCCAAGAATAGTCCAGTCTCGTGACCTGAAACTTCAATACCAATTTGATAGGAAGAAACATCTCGAGAGAGTCCACCAAAGAGCTCAATAGGTAAATCAGGAATCCAACTCTGACCCAAAAACTTAAATCATTAGGTTTCGGGCCCTTACTTACATATTAACTGGTCTTTCTCTATCTCTTGGACCAATGTGGGACATAACCTTTTCTCGTGAACCTAACATAATATAATCATGGAACTAAAGATACTCTAGGAAAAAAATATTTCTTATGTCAGATAAACTAAATAAATGGTGTGAAGAATCCATACTCTTTAAAAAGACATGTAAATTAAAACATCAATTTAAACTATGTTGTAATAATATTAATATGCCTACCCAAATAGGATGCAATACTCCATATTATAATCATAAGATGAAAACTAGATATAAAATGTGAAAGTATTTTAAATAAAAATATATGAAAAGAAAAAAGGCAAAAAATTACAAACATAGAGAAACATTTTCAAAAAAGAAAAAGATATATAGAAGGAATAAGAAAAAGAGAAATATAACAGATTGTCAATGTTATTTTTGTAAAAAAAAAAAGGACACTTAGCAAATCAATATCCTAAAAAATTTAATAAAAAGAGATTTGAAGTGGATGATGATATTGAAGACTTGATTAATAATACTGAATTAATAGAAATAAATACATTTGCAGAAATAGAGGAAATTTTTTTCGGTGAAAGTATATTTATGTTTACAGATATAGAATACAAAATAAACAATGAAGATGAGTGGGATAGAAGAAGAGAAAAATAATTCTACCAAAATAATAGATATTCATTCAGAACAGTTAGGTAAATATAGCCAGGAATGGCTTATAGACAGAAAAATACTATCAAAAATTCAAAAAAATAATTTTTCAATAAAGTCTTATAGTGAATTTAATGTATCTGCATTAGAAAAAGATAAAATTTTATTTAAAAAAATACCATATGTTCTATGGAATAAATATCAAAGAAAAAGCATTAGAATATAGCCTTACTACCAATAAAATAATGATCCAATTAACATCTAAAAAGGATATTTACGATAAATTAGAAAAAATACCATAGAAAATAAGAGAATCCATAGGATGGATTTATATAGGTTTTATTCAAATGATTATTAGGTACACATTTAGAGAAGGACTAAATACTACAATAGATCTTACTATAGTTGATAATTGAATGAAAAATAGGGAAGAAGCAACCCTTGGTATTCTTAGAAAAAACCTTAAATATCAAAAGCTAATTTTTAATATATATATCCAAAAATTTCTTATAATAAACAAGATAAAAATTTTGATAAGACACTTTCCTTAATACAAGATTTCAAAAGAAAGGATTTATTTTTCAATGGAAATAGGCCATCCTCTATTACATATATAATTTCTTTATCAAATACTCATCATACTGAGAACTTTTCAAATACTGAATTCATAAATCTCCCTAAATTATTTTCAGAAATAGGAAAAATATATCTTCCAGAAATTACTAATATAGAATTAGATGAGGAATTTAATCTAGATATAAATAAAAAATCCTACTAGATAAGCCAAATACATTATTACCTAGATTATCCTACATAGGAAATATGGTTAGAAGTAGTTCACATTGTTTTCCAAATATGAATACCAATAAAAAAAAATAACGACAAGTTATAAAATAGAAGCTAAATATTGAAATGGAAAAAAAATGAAAAACTGTAATATTTTAATAGATACAGGTGTTAATGGAAATTATATATCTCATAGATTGCTTAAGAACTTACCTATTTATCAATTACATGATCCTTATCAATATACTAATTTTAATGAAGAAACCATGAAATAAAGGAAACTGTATAAATAAAAATTGAATTAGCTAATAATCAAATTCCTATTCGACTTCTAGTTGAAAATGAAGGATTCAACGATACTCTTGAAATAATGTTAGGAATAAGCTTTTTGGATTCAGTATCCCCCTATAGTATAACTACTAGTGAAATAGTTATTAACCATAATGATAAAAAGATATATGTTAAAAGAAAATAACGAGTCAATATAGTATTTATATACCTATAGGAATAACCTATAAAGATTATAAAGTTGAATACTTTGCAGCAAATATTGATAAGGAACATGTTTATGTAAATCTACATATTTTTCACTACAATATCATGAAACCTTACATGATCAAACAAGTATTGATATTACTTTAAATTATGGAATAACTAAGCGCCACAGATATTACATGGTTCATTCCTTGTTAAATATCCTCCATTTTACTTCTTTGATACCGGACTAGATATACTCTTAGGAAATAATTTTCTCCAACTATTTCATAAAGTTTTATTCGATACTTTATAATTTCAAATATATTTTAAAACTCCTTGTGGTCACTGGATCATCGTTTCCCGCCTTAAACATACTTATACCCTTAAAATTCCCATAACTTTTCATCTTCGCTCAGGTCAACATGGTGATATTGGATATTCAAAAAATGAAAAATACCTAAAGGAAGCTCTATGTTAAAATTTGAAATACAATTACATTTAAAACCAATTACAATTAAAAACCATATCTACTATCCTAAAAGACAAAAAAGAAAAGTTACCATTAAGTTATACAGAAAATGCTCTAAAATTTTGGGACAAAAACCAAGATTATGCTGAAATAAAACTCAAAGGCAAAAATAAAATAATTAGGATAAATCCAATGAGGTATAATCCAATTGATTAAGATGAATTCAATAAACAAATTAAAGAATTGTTAAAAATACCTTTAATAAGAGAAAGTAATTCTTCCCATTCTTCACTTGCTTTTATGATAAGAAACCATGCTGAAATAATAAGAAATAAATTTAGAATGCTTGTTAACTATAAATAGTTAAATAATGAAACCATATTCGACGGATAATTTTTACCATGTAAAGAAAGAACACCCATTCCTTTTGTTGCCGGATGACTACTTTTTCCTGTATGATGCGGCTTACTTGTCTCTCTCACCATTTCCTTCCAACTTCCCGGAAAGTTTTCATTTGAGTACTACCTATGCCATTCTTTTTTAGGAAAAAATCCACTTTTCGCCCCTAAACTTTGAGTTAGAGACACATTTTGTCTCCAAACTTTTTGACACACCATATTTAGTACATGAATTAATTATTTTTTGCTACATTTAGTCCAAAAACAGTAAATTGCTTAATTTGGATGGAGAAAGTCACGTGTTTGGTACGTGGCTGTTAAGTAAAAAAAAAAATTTAGTCAAAATCAACAGTCACATCAGACTTCTCTATTCAAATTGAATATTTTACCATTTTTGGATTAAATGTCGCCCAAAATAATTAAGTCATATACAAAATGTGGTGTATCTAAAAGTTTGGGAATGAAATGTGTCCCTAACTCAAAGTTTGAGGATGAAAAGTGGATTTTTCCCTTCTTTTTATCCTTCTTATTCTTTGTTGCATAGGCATTGGCGTTGAAGTTAAACCAACCTATTGGCAGCGACAACAGCTTGAAGCAAGTTCCAAATTCCATGCTCCGCTCATGCCTACAATCCACGTACGAAACCAAAAGACCAAGGGCTAGTGATTTATATGGCCTGGCCATTTTGGGTCATAACTCATAATCGCCTGCTGTAGACCCTGGGTTGTCTGAGTAGAAGGGATACTATTTCTTCAATTAGAACTCCAAATAACTCTGTATATTCCTACAGCTCCACCAAGGATAATTGGCATTGAACTCCATAGCAACACCATGTGCTCAAACATACTTCTCTGACCAAGGGCCACCTGTTGACCTTGATAGCTTGGTTTCATTAGTGCCATATCGTTGCCTAAACTTGGCAGGGATCCTTCCAACGCCTGAAGCTAAGATTCTCAAAAAGATCGTCCCAAATGTCAAATCCTAGCTTGTTAAAATTGCAGTATTCCACACTTACCGTTATTACTCCTAGCACTTGGTCGCACTCATTACAGTTGGCCCTATATCAACCACGTAGTGTATATCCACTGCTACACAATAAATTATTTATTATACATACTTTTTGTTTTGGTCGTAACTGCACATGTCTACCCTACTCCTATTCTTGGGGGGCGGAGGAGGGGAGAATCTACTTTATAAGAAGGCCCAATTGAGCCGAGTGAATCTGACGGGGACTGAA